GTATGTGGAAAATAATGTGTTTTTTTTTACCTTAAACCGCATAAACACATTTCATTACACCAAATACACCAAATAATGTTCTTTTTAGCAGCATCATATGACCCCTTTAAGGAATTCGGAGCATCAAATTAAAAACACCACCACCGAATGTTCTACACAGTAGCACTTTGCTTATTAGTATTTTTTTTTTCCAGGACCAAAGACGGTTTTCTTCTGGGCACCAGTTTTTAAATGGGTGAGGTCTTGTTTGTTTTCTTACAGTTTAAAGGGTCAAATATTAAAATACAGCACTCATCATCACATTTTACTGTTTTCTGATTTGACATGGTAGCAGTTCTGAGGCTAGATTGTAGAACGTCTTGGCCTTGGATGTTTGTGTTTTACTTGATTATAGAGAATGCTATGAAAATTACTAGTTATAGTAAGGGATTGCTCATCATTTACTCACCCCCATGCATTTAACCACCCATTCTTTCTTCTGTGGAACATAACAGGAGATTGAAGTAGCAGAGTGTTCTATACCAAAACAGTGACCATACCTTGCGAGTAGGAGTTTCAAGGCTTTTAGTGATTAACAACTTAAATTTCACAAAATAATCATATTGGTTCAGATGATTTGGAATATGTTGTGGAAGTCAAATGGACTAATTTTATAGTGCCTTTTTTGAGCTTGACAGACCCTGGTTTCCATATACTTTCATTATATGGAAGAGTGCAACTCAAACATTCTGCTAAGCTTTTCCTTTTGTGTGCTGTTGAAGACAGAAACTCATACAGGATTGAAAAGTCATGACGGCAATGATGATTTTTGGATGAACTATCCCTTTAAGCAAAACCAACATAGCATTATGCAAACTGGCAGTACATACTGTATCTTGCAATTTGATGTTGTAATGCTGTGGTGAATGCAAACATATCATGGATTTACCTGCTGATCAAGGCCTTTGAGCAAGCTGCCTCTTGTTTTGCTCTTTCTTTCCTCCTGCAGGGTTTAGTAGTGGCTGGATTCTCTGATATGACCCGGCCACCAGAAAAGCTCAGTGTCTCTCAGTCCTGCGTCATTACAGCCACAGGTACTTATTCAAGATGGAGCAACAAAGAAATGCCTGATGTAGTTTAGTCAAGATTTATCTACATCAGTAGCTGTTGTCAGTGTCCTGTAGATGAGAATATCTCATTGGACTCTTGTCTGTCGGAGCGTTGTCAATGTCCTCTTTGCTCCACAATGTATTTTTCACTGCGTGAGAACATGGTGTGTGGAGTGAGAGCGGCATGGCTTGTTGGACGTAGCAACAGTAATTAAGGGGGGTGGGTCTTTGCGAAGGGTCAGTTTACTAAGGCTATGGCCTTAACCCACTTTACTCAAAAAAATAGTTGATTCTATCTATTTCAACACTGTATTGATTAATTGCGACTTTCTCTTGTTTCTTTCTAGGAATAATTTGGTCAAGGTACTGCTTGGTGATCATCCCCAAAAACTGGGCTCTGTTTGCTGTTAACTTCTTTCTAGGCATGTGTGGAAGCATCCAGCTCATAAGAATATGGAGGTTAGTCATTACTGTTCTAAGGTCAGCTTTGTTTACTACCATCAGTCGATACACAGAGGTGACAAGCTTAGTGGTGTAGGATTACGTTGCAATGGCTTTGAGTTCAATGGTTTAGGGTTCAACAAGGTACTAACAAAAACTGGGATTAAGCTGTTAAAGCAGGCAATATATTCTTAAATACATAAAAACGTAAAAAAATAAACTAGATTATTTATTTTGGAATTAGAAGTATTTAACTGGCAGATAATCAAGAATGATCTCATTTGGGGCAGCAACATCAAAAGCTATGGCATTTTTACTAGCAGGCTACTGCAAAATGAAAAAATGTAGTTGAGTTACTATTTTTAATTAGATTTATAAAAATAAACTACTGAAGTTATTTTAATAAATTATTCACCAACATTTACAGTTTTTTGTTTAATTAAACCTCAAATTACTTCTTGTTATGTATTGTTTTCACTCTACAAAAAAAAAAAAAAACTTTTATTACACTTGCCTTAGGCCTAAAACATATTTACTACCAACATTTACTTTTGCTGGGAGTTTATCATAAGGGTGTGGTTCAATTCAGTCATTGTTTATTTGTTGATTCCATGTTATGAATTATACATTTTGCAGCTGCAAGTTGCATTAAATATATATTTTATTACTTAAATTCCAATTTAATATTTAAAATAGTTTGTCTATTTGTAAAGTGATTGTATTTTTAAATTTGTAAATTGATCACTGATTCCTTCGATTTTTAAATTCTGCATTCACATATTACACATATTACAAAAACCTAAGATATTACAGCATTGTCCAGAGATGAGAAATCTGGCCCTTGAGGTCCACTGTCCTGCAGCTTTTCACTCCATCCCTAATCAAACACACCTGCCTGTAATTTTAATGTAAATCCTGAAGACTTTGGTTTGATTTTCAGTTGTGTTTGAATAGAAATGGAGCTAAACTCTGCAGGACAGTGGACTTTTGAGTGCCAGAGTTGCTTATGCCTGGCATAGTTATTTAAGGTAAATCATTGTATAACATCAATTAGTATTTGAAATATATTTTGTTTAGGTACATAAAAAGATGAGAGATCAGTTATGGCTTCAACAAATGAGTGAGATATTTGTATTATGCATAAATGTAGTTGGTGGAGGTTGTGAAGGTGCCCTGTAACTCATGTTACATGAGTTTTATGGGAAAGGAAAAGTGGCTCTTATACAGTATATCCACATCTATTAAGTCCAGTGGAATGTGAATTGGAGGTAATGGAGAGTTTAGCATAACAGTTAAAGAGTGAGAGGCAGCAGAGTGGAGCATTTTGTTCTTTGTTGCGTTTACAATGATGTATATATTTTCAGCAACCTATGTTCCTTCAGCACCTGCAGTGCTTTGGCTAAACAATTATGCATTTAAAAGGAGTGACGCACTTTGTATTTGTGTGTGTAGGTACAACCAACAGCTCAAGCAGAAAGGAGTGGAAGTGCCACAGTCTTGAATTGCCACTTATTCTTACGAGTGGAGTGGTGATATAGTTTTGCTTTGTTACTGTAAAAGCAATGAATCTGCATTTTGCACACATCAGTCATGTTATATAGATCAAACAAATATGCTCTGTCTGTGTAAAATAGGGATTTGTTTTTTTTAAACTTCATAATCATTTAAAACTTTATCACATAAAATTGTGATATATTACGATTGTAATTCATATGTTCTTGATTGTATATTGTAATGTGTTGTTATTCTGATCCATCGTTATTTCTATAGATTTCTTAGTTTTAAGGGGGTCATATTATAATAATAATCATTTTTTAAAAAGTTACTGGAGGTGTGCCTGTAATATTATAATTTTTTTGTGCCAAAACAGTCACTATTGAAACGACTATTGAAAAAAAGACTAAAAAAATTCTAATTCTTAGAGTTAACTGGATATATTTTGTTAGTGTGTCTTTAAGGAAATTCTTTGCATGTGAAATTAACTTTAAATCAAAGTGTGCCACACAAACCTCTAAGATCAAACTGAAATGTAATATGTTATGGAAATCGTAAAACATAAAAGACCTTAGTATGCTTTGAGTTCTAAAAGTCACAATGTATTTCTAATGCATCAAGCTTTTTCTGAAAAGGCTAAGGAATAATTTGATTCCTCATGATATGGCCCCTTTAAAATCTAACATAAAAACTAATGGTAATTTGATAAAACTAACATCCTGTTGCACTGTATGCTAAATCACTGTTACATGTTTTGCATTGGATACTGAGATGAGATGAACACATGCAGTGGGCAAAGGTCATTACCAAGTCACACACAGGAATAGACAGACTTTGCCCTTTATATGGACAGAACAGACACACAATGATAGACAGAATGTTTTAAAGTGTTGAGCTGTAGTACAATCTTACACATTATAGTAATATCTGTCAATGTACGCATTTATTAAAGTCAATATAACATGGATTCACAGGACAAAAGTCTGTTTTGCAATCTCACTTCTTTGTATTTTGAGTCCAGAGTGCACTTTTCTCCAGAACTGCATCATCCTACACACTGGGTTCCAATAAAAACTTAAGGGTCATCAAGCATCGTACACTTCCAGACCCTCTCTACAGCTAAATCGGGAATCAAGGGTGTATGACAAACACATGCACCACTTTGTTCCCTTGTGCTAAATTAGACCCGTTAATCTCCCTTAAACCTCTGTTTTCAGCGTATCCTACACGCTGACTCTAAATTAAGCAGGCAGGGTGTTGAATCATCCGTCTGTCTCTTTACTTATACATCACACTTCACCTCTGCAGCCTACAATCTTGTCAGATGTGAACAGCATAGAAAAGGCATTCTGGGTTCTTGTGCTTGCTGCATGCATATCAACAAATAGTACAGCTGTATGAGTCAATTTATAAGATACTGTCTGGGTAGCACTTTACAAGAGGGTTTCATTTATTAATATTAGTTAACTAGATTAGTCAAAATGAACTCGCAATGAACAATGCTTCTACAGCATTTGTTCTTAGTTATTCATAGTTATTAAGCTATTATTCTTTGTTAAAGGAATAGTTCACCCCCCCCCAAAAGACAATGTACTCAACCTTAGGTCATCCAAGATAGATGAGATTCTTTCTTCATCGGAACAGAAAAAATTTGCATTACATCACTTGCTCACCAGTGGATTCTCTGCAATGAATGGGTGCCATCAGATTGAGAGTCTAAACAGCTGATAAAAGCACCCCAATCATTTACATAGAGAAGATAGATAGCTTTTATTGCTTTTTGCTTTATAATGTTAAGTGATATTGCAATACAAACATTGTTACACATACTATGTGGTTTGACAAAGACTGTTAAATGCCATTGATTATAATGACAATGTGGTTCTATATGCTATAGGCCTGCTGATTTAAGATTATCTTGAGTGTTCAAATGATTTATGATGATAAGCTATTTATTTATATAGTTATTTATTTATTTATTTTAGCTGAGCACTGGATAAAGATAATAAAGGCCACATAATATGAGAAAAGAGTGTTTATATAGTTTGGACTTCACACTCGTTCACCTGACTTGAATGCCTCTGTACTGAAATGGCAGTTGTGAGAGCAAATAATAAAGTAAACTGAGAACAAGTCTTTTGAAAGTCTCACTCTTACTCCCTATGTTGTTAGAATGGGTCACAGTTAATGATTAATTGTAAATGCAATTGTAACTTCTTTTTTTTTTTTTTTAATGTATGCATGCACAAGACTTGAAGTGTATTTTATTTTTAAAAATCTATCAAATCTATTCTTAATCAGGGTCTTTATCTTGTTTTTCAGTAAAATATAGATTTCTTAAAACAAGGTCATTTTAAAATTGCTGTAAGATATTAACCCTTGTTTGCCTTTAACTTTTATGACATTTAAATCTTATTCAACTATTTTTATGACATTTAAATCTTATTCAAATATTGTAACGTGGCAGGCGTGACAGTGGGGTTGAGGATCCAAGTGCAAGCTTTATTTAAAAGAGTGGTCAAAAAAGGCAGGGTCAATCAACAGCAAATAGGTATAATCCAGGATGAGACAAAAGAGTAATCCAAACACAGGCGAAGGTCAGGGCAGGCAGCAAACAATCAGAAAAACCAGATAAACAGTCCAAGGCAAAAACAAGGCAAGGTAAGGCAACAAGGAACTAGGAAACACAGGAACGCTACAGACCAACAATCAAACAACCAGCCCCCTGTGTCTCTGTGTGTGTGTGTGTTGAACCAGGCTTTAAATAGGGTGAAACTGATGAGAAAATGAGACAGAGGTGAATGCAATCAGAGATGATGAGTCCAGCAAAGGATTATGGGAAATGGGAGGTGGAGCGGAGACGGAACAGGGGGAGGGATGGAGGGCCAGGTCCATGTGCTGGAGGAGGACCTGGGAACTGAGGCAAACCCGGCGGACCAGGGTGCCAGGGCGGAGCAGGAAGACAAGGCGGAGCCGAAGTCCTCCAGGGTAGAGCAGACAGGACTGAAGATCCCCATGGCGGAGCAGATGACCACCACAGCAGAGCAGATTGGACCGAAGATACCCACGGTGGCGCAGACGACCACCACAGCAGAGCAGATGGGACCGAAGATCCCCACAGTAGCGCAGATGACCGACCACCACAGCAAAGCAGATGGGACCGAAGATCCCCACAGCAGCGCAGATGACCGACCACCACAGCAGAGCAGATGGGACCGAAGATCCTCACTGCGGCGCAGACGACCACCAGGGTGGAGCTGATGGAGCAGGGAACCACCACGGTGGATCAGGCTGGACTGGAACAGAGAGCATAGAGGTTAACAACGGCCTCTGCGGCCGTAACAGGACAAGCAGAGAGTTCAGTGGCCTCCTTGGCCGTGGCTGGACAGTCAGAGAGTTCACAGATGGCCTCCATGGCCGTGACAGGACAGTCAAAGAGTTCAAAGGCGGACGCAACTGCCTCTGGAGGTTCTGCATCAGAAGCCGCCACCTCAGGAGGAGCTGGAGCGGACGCCGCCACTTCTGGAGGTTCTGCAGTACAAGCCGCCACCTCAGGAAAAGCTGGACTCACAAGAGTCATTGGAACAGGAAACGGCACTCCTGGCCATGGCGAGGGAACTGGAGTCATAAGAACAGGGAACGGCACTCATGGCCGTGACGAGGGAACAGGAGTCATTGGAACAGGGAACGGCACTCCTGGGAACGGCACTCATGGCCGTGACGAGGGAACTGGAGTCATTGGAACAGGGAACGGCACTCCTGGCTGTGACGAGGGAACTGGAGTCATTGGAACATTGAATGGCACTCCTGGCTGTGACGAGGGAACTGGATTGGACTCAGGGACTGGAGCGGCCTCAAGAGGAGTAACAGAGCAATGAGTAGCCCAAACACACAGGATGGCAACCGGCATTATAGGGAGCACTGATTCCAGGGGAACAGTCTCTATGAGGACTTGTTCTAAGGCCCTTGGGATACTTGCTGCTCGCACCGATATCAGCGGTGGATCCTCCACACTGGACACCAATCTCAAATGCCTTGGGACTGACCTTGAATCACTGGGCATGGTTGCCATGACGGGACGAGACTCTGGAACGGTGGCCGTGACAGGACGAGACTCTGGAACGCCGGCCATGACGGGACAAGACTCAGGAATGCCGGCCATGACGGGACGAGACTCTGGCTTGGCGGCCATCTTGTGGAGAGACTCTGATGTGACAGCCACTGGACTTGGCAGTACTGAGAACATAGGAGTTGCGACCATAATTACTGGACTTGGTGGTGACTTTGGTGAGCCAAGCTCCGCTGGAGCTTGCCGGTTATATATATATATATATATATATATATATATATATATATATATGTCACTCATACTTGTGTATAATCAGTAAGGAGGAAAGTTTTGTTTTATGATTTTACCCCTCACGTTTTGCTTGCATATAACTGTCACCATATAACTTATATCCACTGATTATTTTCGCATCTGTCTTTAATAATAATTGAGTGACAAAAGAACTACCAGTATGTTAAAGGGTTAGTTCACCCATATATATATATATCTTAGCAATGTAAATGACAATTTTAAACTAATTTGAAGCAGACAGTAAAGTGCCATAAAAGGCATATAGTCATATTTAGTGTTATGGACGTGTGGTTTTAGATCTAGTGTGTGCGCACGCAACAAGGGCTGCTTGCTTCATAGAATCATAGAATCAAAAAATAAATAAATATAAAGAAGAACTACACAACCCATTGAAGAACTAATTGAAGAACTACACTACCCACTAAACGGCCAAACAGGAATTGAGTGAATGACCTTGCGCTCCATAATGCATTGTCAATGATATAATGGAGTCCTTACGCTCTCAAGCAATAGATCTATTTGAATAGTATACTGACAATCAGTGACGTATGGTAATAGTTTTATATTGCATTGTCATTTATGATTTATTTGTCATTTGTAATTCTTCATAGGATGAGTTAGTTTATTTAGAAGTACGAAAACATATACTCTAAAAAATGCTGGGTTGTTTCAAGCTGTTACATTTTTAAATAAAATTGTTTTAACCCAAAAGTGGGGTTAGTCCATATTTGACCCAAAGTTGGGTTGAAACAACCCAGCATTTTGTAGGTACACAATCTTGTAGCCTATACTTTTTGGTCTAATCAAATATAAATAAGTTAAAAAAATAATATAATATTTAATAATATGAATTTTTTAACCCTTTTACTGAACAAATTTTGTAATACGTAAGAAGAAAATAAATGGCAAATATATAATTGCAGGAAAACTGATCTGACCAGTATATGAAGTGGTCATCACTGTTGTGCTCTGTTATCTATTTTCCATGAAAGGTTAAATGGGTACAGTTAAATCCTCTCTTGTTGCCTTGGTAACGTGACCAACCCATCATCTCGTGCCTTCAAGGTCAAGCCTTAAATTGCTGCAGTGACAGTTCCAATTCATCTCAGTGACATTTGACACTCTGTCTGTTCTCTTCTCTTCTCTGTCTGTCTTTTTTCCACGCTGATGCATTAGAGATAAAGAAATAAAATTCTTTCTCAGCATTTTTGAAATATCTGTTGGTGTATGTATTCTGAAATAATAACATGCTGAAGTCAGGGGTAAATTGACTTGCTCCAAAAATAGCACGCAGTCTGTCATAACAATCTTTGCGCATGCCAGAGTGCGTGTGTGCCACCACAAGGTAGGCATATCCCACCTGGTTTCCCCGTGCTTTTTTCCCAGTGTTGTAGATACCCGTGCACATGTGTTTGCACGTGTGAGTTTGGTGGGGGGTGTGAGGGGGATGGTGCATGAGAAAGCAAGAGCAACAGAGAGCGCTGTTCTCTAAGGACAAATGCAGACACAGCGATTAATGCAGTGTGAATATGGCAAGCCGTTTTGACTTTTATTCCTTCACGGGATATGAATTCTTGATATCAACAATTAAATTTTTACTAGTTAAAATGTTAATTCTTGATATCAGGAATTAGATTTCTACTAGTAACAATGGCTATTTTTGATATCAGCAATTACATTTCCACTAGTAACAATGTTAAAATCATGAATGTGATTGTTACTAGTAACAAAAGTCATTTTAGATATCAGAAATTACCCTCACAATTGTTGATATCAGAAATACATGTTCAGATATCAGAAATGAACATCAAATTGTTGATATCAAGAATTAAATTGTTGATACCAAGAATAGACATCTGTACTAGTAACAACGTGATTACTGATATAAAAAATAAAGGTTTTTACTAGTAAGAATTGTATTTCTGATATGTGAAATTGGAATTTCAACTAGTAAGAAATTAATTCTTGATATCAACAATTGATTTTGAATGGCAGCCTATGGTGACATTTAACTAGTGAAAATACAATTACAGATATCAAGAATTATAATTTTTACTAGTTGAAATTTAATTCCTGATATCAATAATTAGCATTTTAACTAG